TAAGAAGCGCACACCGAAGGTAAACCATGCTACTTTCTTCTTTGAAAATGTCCTGCAGGGGCGCCTGGCTGGCTTGGTCGGAAGAGCATGCCAACTCTTGATCTTGGGGTCGTGAGTTCAAACCCCATGTTGGGTGTGGAGATTACCTAAAAATAAAATCTTACCAAAAAGAAAGAAAGAAAATGTCTTGCTCTGAGAAAAATGTCAGCTGAGCTGAAAAGCATCCTTACCTGATGGGGTTGGTGCCAGACCAATCAGAGACCGGCTGCTTGTCCCCGGATCGCACTTGGGGTAGCCCCGTCCTAGAGCCTATGCACTGCTTGTGTAAATTTTTCTTTAGCTCCCTTGTTATGTATCTAATAACCGTAACAGCTGCCAACGTGTATGAGAACTGTTCTCATCCATTTTGATTTTCATAAAACCCCTCAAGGTAGGTACTGTAATTATCACCACTTTATACACATGACGAAGTTAAAGGACAAAGATACCAAGCAACTTGGACCAAGTCCCACAGTATTTTTATAGCAGGGCGTTGGGATTTACATGCAGGCAGTCACATTCCAGAGCACATAGTCTTTTTTTTTTTTTAAGATTTATTTATTTATTAGAGAGCAGGAGTGTGCACGAGCAGGATGGGGGGTGGTGGGAGAGAGAATCTTAAGCAGACTCCCCGCTGAGCGCAGAGCCCAACCCCGGGGCTCCATCCTACAACCCTGAGATCATGACCTGAGCTGAAACCAAGAGCCAGACGCTTAACTGACTGAGCCTCCCAGGTGCCCCCAGAGCACACAGTCTTGATGAAAATGGAATTTTTTTGTGTTCTGCATGCTATTATTCTTCTTAATATTCTTTTTCGTTTCCTATAGTCTATCTGGCTACTAGCCAAGAATGCATATTTGTCATACTCCTCTTCACCTTACTCCCATTTAATGTGGGGGATCCTATTGGGACACTCTTTGGCCAGATACACGGTGGGTACATTCTGGACTCCCCTTCCTTCTTATCTAGGACCTGTTGATCCTCCCTTCAGAACTTCAGCTCAAGGACTTCTTTCTGAGGGGTTTTTTTCCACAGAATTGTTGCCCTCAGAGGATGTCATTAGCTCGGTGGGGCTGTTGTCAGCAGCTTCGGTCTTAGATCTTTTCTGGGACAAGGGGTGGCGGTAGGGATGTCATTCTTTCAAGTTAAAAGCACACACACACAAAAGTTTCAATCTTACAGAGAGTAATTTGGCCAAATCTCTCATTATTACAAATGCATTTGTACTTTGATGTAGAAATCCCATTTGGGGAAATTACTCTGCAGATGAACTTGCACACCTATGGAATGACTTTTATACAAAGCTGTTCTCTGCAGCATTGTTCATAATAGTAGCAGACTGGGAAGAGCTCACATATCCAAGAACAGGGAACAATTATGGTACAACCACGTGGTGGAAGATTTTGTTGTAAAGAAGAATGAAGAAGTTATTGCTACTGTGGAAAGCTCTGAACTTAGAGTATTAACTGGAAAAGCAGTCTCTGTCTGCTGCTGTTTTGCAGTGGGTGTGGGTGTTTTTTTACACATGTAAATGATACTTTTTTATGAAAAGGAAAGAAAAAGATATAAATTCGTAAAGAAACAGTGGAAGGATATAGAAGAAACAAATAAAAATGGTCACCGGTCGAGGCCATGGGGGCAATAGGCATGATGGAGAAATGAGAATTTTCACTATCAACGTTTTCAAAGTCATTAGGTATTTAAGCCACTACCTTTTCTTAAAAAGTAAATGAAAAAATGTATACACAGATGTCTTCATTCCTGTGACCAGTGACCCTGTGTGCCTCTCCCCAGTGGCCGCCTTCATGCTCCTTCCATTTCACCGAGGGGAAGAAGGTGTTTTCAGTCTGCATCTGCCTGTCGCTGATGGGGAGGGGACCTTCTGGAATCTTCCCGGGCTCCTTCCGTCAGCCTTCCATGCCTGCCTTGTGTTGTGGGAAAGCCCTCTGGTAAATGGAGTCTGGCTCGGCCGGAGCACAGTCATGTTCTCTCCGGTCCTTCCAGCCTTGAGCACCACAGTCTCAGATGGAGACCATTTGCCCATCTAGGAAGCCCTGTGGTGCCGGCGGAGGCCGCCTTCCGGCTCACAGCTGTCCACGTCTCTTCCCCGTGGCTGGCTCCTTGCTCTCTGCCTCCACATTAGAAGGTTATAGTGAAGTTTTCCAGACGTTGTCGCTCACCCTCTTCTCTCTGGGCTGGGGAGGAGGGCTCTGGAGTGGGTTGGAACAGCACCATCATAGATTTCTGGAAGCTTTTGCTCTTTTTTTGCTGACCAGTGTTTAAGAAAAATGAGACCTAAAGTTGCATTCTCTTCTTTTGTTACTTATTTTTGTTCATGTCAAGAGATTCCGTGAGTCTGGTTTGACACATCATTTTACCCTAGTAGTTTGTAGTTTGGGACACTTTTTATGAGTATCTGTTGTCTTACTCCAAGCGTACTTACCTGCAGTGGCTAGTGAGGAAGGTAATGGTCTTAAGTTGGTTTAACATTTTAATTGACACTGTAAATAGGGTCTTCTGAACACTTTAACAATTTTTTTGAAATCATAATATAGTTAACATACAGTGTTGTGTTAGTTTCAGGCGTACAACATAGTGATTCAACAATTCTATACGTCGCCCGGCAATTATTATTTTTTTTTAATATGCAGGAGAAGTTTTTTTCTGCAGCTTTGCAGAGTGACACTTTTTTCCCTAACACAATAACTGAGTCAGCAGTGAATCTTAACCAGCGAAGAGTCCAAATTCACGCGGTTTTGTTATTTGGAATGTATGTGTTAGTGTTTGGGAGGTAGGCCTTAAAGTATTTCTCGGTAGCTGTCATGATATACAGTGGAGTAGAATTTATTTTATTTTATTAAAGATTTTATTTATTTATTTATTTGACAGAGAGAGACACAGCAAGAGAGGGAACACAAGCAGGGGGAGTGAGAGAGGGAGAAGCAGGCTTCCCGCTGAGCAGGAAGCCCAACACGGGACTCGATCCCAGGACCCTGAGATCATGACCTGAGCCAAAGGCAGACACTTACCAACTGAGCCACCCAGGTGCCCCCAGTGGAGTAGAATTTAAAGTACAGACATGATACATTTACTAGAGTAGCCAGCAATCCCCTCACTGTTCAGAGGGAGTAGCAAACCCTTTCACTCCTTCGGTACATTAGAAAGAAATGCTCTGTGTTTTTCCTTATCTTTTCTTCCCATTAGCAGTTCTTCACCATGTTTGCTGAGCGGTTTCTTCTAACCTTGAATTATCTTGGTACATGTAAGCTTGTGTCATCTATGTCATGATGATCGTAAGCCTAATTAAATTCTTGACTTGAACTCTGGTCTTTGTTCATAAACAATAAATTTAAAAGCTCTGGAATAGAGCCCCCCCTTTTTTGTGAAATATGAAACCTGTATTTATCTGTTCTAAATTTTCTGTCTTTTGATAAAAGAATCCCTGCCTGTTTGGGGGTTCTGTTAACAACACTGCTGAAGATTTGTTTAAACCAGATTCACGTGAAGCACTTTTCTTTCACAGCGGATCTAATTCTTCCACTCTGACTTCAGCATTTTTATAAAATAACACAACGAGGGGCGCCTGGGTGGCTCAGTCAGTTAAGCATCTGACTCTGGATTTCAGTTCGGGTTATAATCTGGGGGTCATGAGATCGAGGCCCATTGAGTGTGGAGCCTGCTTGGGATTCTCTCCCTCTCCCTCTGCCCTTCCCCGCTCGTGCTCACTCGCTCTCTCTCTGTCAAAAATAAATAAATGAATGAATGAATGAATGAATGAATGAATGAAATAACAGAATGAGGATAGACTATAATGATTCTTGGTTGATTTCACTGGAGAAGATCCGTAGCCTTTGTTTTCAGATTTCACTCCCAAACCCAGAAGTTAATTTTTCCCGAGGTGAGTACTCAGTTTTCTGAAGCATTCCCAGGATTAGCTGGAAAAAGGTATTCCTTACTTTCCTCAACCCTTACTATTATCGCCCTGCCAGCCCCACGCCAGTGCCTGACCCCCGGCAGGCGGAAGAGCTCCGAGCCAGTGAACTCCCGACATTGTTTCATTCGACGTTTCAGATCTTCTCTCTGTGCTGAGTTAGTCAAAATGCCCGCTGGTCATCTTGGTATTTGTGTTCTGTTTTGTATTTGTGTTTGATACGAAAATAAGTTGAGTATTTGAGTATTCTGTCGCTCTTGACTTTTCTGTTTCTAGTTTACACGATAACTCAAGAATGAAGAAATTGGATTTAGGGGCGCCTGGGTGGCTCAGTCGGTTAAGCGTCTGCCTTCGGCTCAGGTCATGATCTCAGGGTCCTGGGATCGAGTCCTGTGTCGGGCTCCCTGCTCCGCGGGAAGCCTGCTTCTCCCTCTCCCTCTGCCCGCTGCTCTGCCTACTTGTGCTCTCTCTATCTCCCTGTCAAATAAATAAATAAAATCTTAAAAGAAAAAAAAAAAGAAGAAGAAGAAGTTGGATTTAAACTCCATAGGGACAGACTGGCATGGTACCGTCTCGTCTCACTCAAGGACCAAAGCAGTTGACTTTATTCTGGAGGTTTGTAATACCTTATCAGATTTCCAACGGTCTCCTGTTCCATTAAAGGGACTCCCTGTTCGTCTCCCCCTTGACCACCCGTGGTAGTCCTCCTGAAGCTCACAGCAGACAAGGGGTTTCCTTTCCCCAAGATCCGATTGGCATTTCTTCCTCAGGACCTCTATATTATGATCTCTTTGAGGCTTTCAGGTTGAATGAAAAAACATTTTTTTTCCATTTGTAATGTTTGGATGACATTTACAACATTTGCCTGCTTTGTTATTCTCTTTGTAGAATGAAAAGAAATGTTGAGAAAGAAGTAAAGCTCTCATCCTCTGCCTCGGATATTTATGATGGGTATCCAGAAGTCTAAAATAGACCCCTGCCCTCTCTCTCTCTCTTGGGGTAAAAGCCCCAGGGTGGAAATGAGTCAGAGACACCAGGAGTCAGCTTCCAAGACACCCGATGACCTCCCCCTGCGTGATCTGGCTGAGCCTGGCCCCATGGCGCCGGCGTCCGCTGGGGAGCACGAGGGAGCCGAGGACCGGGAAGACACGTCAGAGGAGGACGAGGTGTTCCTCAAGTTCGTGATCCTGCATGCGGAGGACGACACAGACGAGGCCCTCAGAGTCCAGAACGTGCTGGAGAACGACTTCGGCATCAAGCCCGGGATCATCTTTGCCGAGATGCCCTGCGGCCGGCAGCACCTGCAGAACTTGGATGACGCCGTGAACGGGTCTGCGTGGACCATCTTGTTACTGACCGAGAACTTCCTGAGAGACACCTGGTGCAAGTTCCAGTTCTACACGTCACTCATGAACTCGGTGAACAGGCAGCACAAGTACAACTCGGTCATCCCCCTGCGGCCCCTGCACAACCCCCTGCCCCGCGACAGGACTCCCTTCGCTCTGCGGACCATCAATGCCCTGGAGGAAGAGAGCCGGGGCTTTCCCACCCAAGTCGAAAGAATCTTCCAGGAGTCCGTGTATCAGATCCAGCAGGCTCTGTGGAAGGAGAGCCGAAGCAGTGGCCGCCAGCAGGCCCTCTCCTGAGACGGAGCCCCCAGCACGCAGCTGGCTGGCTCTCGTCTGGCAAAGGCCACCGCTCGTCTCCCCTTAAGAAGGCCCAGCTCTGGCAAGAAGTTGACAGGAGCTGACACAGACCCAGGTGCTCAAGCATGATACGTTTCTGTGGGACCCCGCATAGACTTTGGAGGTACTTTTCCATATTTCGGGCAAACTTGAGACTGTCCGAGCTTCGAGAACATTCCTCTTTTCCTTTTTTGGGTCTGTGCATGTCACGAAGGATATAGCCTTCATTCACATCCCTTGTGTCAGTGAGACTTGAACACAGACTTCGGTGAGAGACGTTGTCCCGGTACGACACGCGGGACAGAAGGTCCCAGGAGGTCTGACTGCCCTTCGCTTCCATCTGTCCGCAGAGGACACGCGGGACAGAAGGTCCCGGGAGGTCCGACCGACCGCCCTTCGCTTCCATCTGTCCGCAGAGGACACGCGGGACAGAAGGTCCCGGGAGGTCCGACCGCCCTTCGCTTCCATCTGTCCGCAGAGGACACGCGGGACAGAAGGTCCCGGGAGGTCCGACCGCCCTTCTTTGGGAGGCCCCTCTCAGAAGCGCCCAGCAGAGCATGGCTGGTCTTGTGGCCCCGACGAGAACGTTCAGAATGTTGAGTAACGATGCCTACGAAATTAAAAGCCGATGCAAGAGTGGTGGGGCGCTTTACAAGAATCCGATCAACTGTTGTTTTTCCTTCTGCTGGAATTGGGGGATTTCGAGACAGTGCCTACCACTGACTAGCCACCCGTTTGGTGGTGCTGTGGTTGGGGGACTCCGGAGAACCCTGTCCTGAGGTCCCCTAGAGCCTCAAGCTCTTGTTAGGTCATCCATAGCCAGGGCTTCATGTGCACGGTTTCTGAAATGTGTGTGTGTCCCTGGCTCTGTGTTCTCCTTCATCTCTCTCAGGGCAGCCTTTAAAAATTCCTCTCACTCACAGGGCTCTACCCAGAAAGTATTTCTCAGCTGGGTGGTCACAGTAGCCTGACCTTGTGTGCGCACGTGTGTGCGCGTGTCTGTACATCGTAGATTATTCGCAGACTTAGGATGGGAGCAGGAGACGCGTTCTGTGGCCTCTTCTGTGTCCCGCATCACAGCCTTCTGCAGAGGACCACCCAGCCCTGCTCCTTCCCTTCACGCCCTCCTGCCCCACCTGCGGCTGAGGGAGAGGGGGTGTACCTGAGAGCCCTCAGGTGCAGATGGGGGACGGGGTGGAGTGTGACTCACGTCATGTTGTAACGGGCACAGCGCCCTCTGGGCACCAGGAGACCTGGTTCCTGTCCAGTCTCTGCCACTGGGGCTGAATGTGACCTTCTCCTCCTTTATCTGTGACATGAAAGGCTTGAATTGATGGAGCTCTAAAGGGCCTTTGTCCTCTCTCAGAATGTGAACAACTAGGAACCAGAAAAGGGGACAAGCGAAAAAACAACCATTTTGTAATGTGATGTGTAATAAGTTGCAGGAGGCTTGAGACAGCCTCCCAATGAAAGGATATGCTAATGTGTTGACAGCATAATTGATTTCCGATGCTATCTGCTACACTTTCATAGTCAAAACTGAATTACAATACTTGCTTACTCAGATTCTTTTAAAATCATTTTTTGTAGGGACCGTAGAGTGAAGACGTTCTGCCTGATGTTTCTTTCTCCTTTTGCTCACTTTGTGTCTCCTCCTAGTCCTGGGGTCTGCTCACATCTTTCTCTCTCCACCTCTTCATAGCCATGACTGAATGTTCTGCGAGGAGCTTTTCCCATAATCCTGCAAGTAAGTCAAACCTCCTACTTTATAGTACTCCTTGAAGAAGAGATTGTTTTCATTGTGCGGTGACATTTGCTTAAAGTCCCTTTCTATCATAGTAGCTTACTGCTCACTTTTCTTTTTCAGTTTTAATAATACTCTTTTTTTCCCCCTCTGCGGCTTCATCTATCTCCAATTTCATATAGTAAAAAAAACATTAACCCACCCTTCCTGCTTACTACCAAAGCGGGAGCCACGGATGCTGGATGGTGTTTTTTAAATAAATGTTTTTATTCATTACCCTTGACTGCACTTGATTATTTCCAACTCCAGGGAAGATTATGGGAAAGTATTTTGAAAAAAAGGCATTAACCTGTACTCCTCCATAGAGTACCAGGCACAGCGTCTCCTTCAATCTGGAGTGAAATACATTTTTTGTAATGAAGAAAAATGTGAAGATTATGGGAAAGTATTTTGAAAAAAAGGCATTAACCTGTACTCCTCCATAGAGTACCAGGCACAGCGTCTCCTTCAATCTGGAGTGAAATACATTTTTTGTAATGAAGAAAAATGAAGAAAAATTCTCCTGAATAACTGTGTATGTTGCAATTAACTGCTGTAAAAAGAACTACCAAATAACTAAACCGAGGATGACAAGAAGTCAAGGTGCAGCCTTGGTTGTATGTTTGTGTGTGTGTATGTTTGTATAGATCAGATTTACACACACACACACAGGGAAATTCTGCAACATTGTGCCACACTCTGGAGAGCTTCCATGTGGAGGACTCTCTGGGCCTCATTGCCCACCCTGGAGCTTCACAGAACAGCCTGCGTTCTGCCTAACAGGTCTGTTAGGATTCTTCCAGATGCAGGAAACAGAAACCCAAAACCACGTGACCCACACCATAAAGTAAGCTTCTCTAACTTAACAAGAGGTCCCCTAAGGTATATGGTATCTCCAAGGTGTCCTTTAAAAACCCAAGTTCTTGGGCACCTGGGTGGCTCAGTCGGCTAAGCATCCAACTCTTGATTTCAGCTCAGGTCATGATCCCGGGGTCCTGGGATCGAGCCCCGAGTCAGGCTCCCTGGTCAGCCTGGAAGCCTGCTTCTCTGTCTGCCGTTCCCCCTGCTTGTGCTTGCTCGCTCTCTGTCACATAAATAAATAAAATCTTTACAAACAAATGAATAAAACCCCCAAGTTCTTATAAACAATGGCATATTATTCTACCTCAAAAAGAAAATTCTGATACATGCTCCAACATTAGGTGAACTTGAAAACATGTGAAGTGAAAAAAAAAAACAGACACAAAAGCCAAACACAAATATTACATATAGGACTCTACCCTATGAGGTACCTAGAACAGGCAAATTCATAGCAACAGGAAGAACAGAGGTGACTGGGGGTTGGAGGGAGGGAAGAATAGGGGGTCATGTCTAATGGGTACAGAGCTTTTGTTTGGGGTGATGAGAAGGTTCTGGAAATGGATGGTGGTGATGGTTGTACAACACTGGGAATGTACTTACTGTCACTGAAGTGTATGGTTAAAATGGTAAATTTTATTTATATTTTACCACAGTAATAAACAGAAAAACCCAGGATCTTCTCATCCTTTGGTCCTGCCGTCCAAAGGTAGAGGGAGAGAGAGAATCCCAAGCAGGCTCCATGCCCAGTGTCGAGCCCAGTGTGGGGCTCGATCCCACGACCCTGAGAGCACGACCTGAGCTGAAACCAAGAGTCTGACGCTTCACCGACTGAACTACCCAGGCGACCCGGGTTTTATTATTTTTAAAAATTTCCACCTGCTCCCGGTGGACCCCTTCCTGTGCTTCCCATTCCCCATCCCCTGAAGCACCGCTGCTGTGGAGTCAGACCCCCACCCTTTCCCTCGATCAATTGTGATCTTAAGCGAGACCCTTCACTTCCTGGGTCTCAGGGTCCTCATCCAAAAACAGAGCTAAGAATACCTGGCGGGTGGGATTATTCTGAGGATTCAGTGAAATAATGCACGTGGAGCGCAGGAGAAGGACCTCCCGCTTAGCCAGGCTACTACAGTAAGATGGGACGCCGAGGGGAGAGGGCAGATAGGATTGCCCCCAACCCTACTTTTGGAACCCTGGCAACTCGTAGGGAGCAGATTTTAAAGAGAAAGCGGGCCTTGTCTCCAGGAGCCGAGCCGAGCCGTACAGATCCCATCCCAAACCTAGAGGAGCCCCTGATGGCAGGGGTGTGTGAGCTGCTGATGGTGGGTGTGGCTGAGGCCTCAGCGGCCCTGGGCGGTCGGTCCCGTGTCCCTGCCTCTCCTCCTGCACGTAGCCGGGTCTTCCGCCACCGGCTGCTGGGCAGTCCCCAGAACGTGACTGTCCCTCCGTATTTGCGGGAAGGTAGGAAGGGCAAGGAGGAAATTTCAGAAAGCTTCCAGGCACTTGACGGAGTGAAACCAGAGCATCTGAAAATGGATCTCCCTAAGCCGGGGACAAACGGGAATGAACTAGTGGAAGAGAATGGACGTTGTCCTTGAACCTGAGGTTTCTCACAAGATGCCGCCTAGTAGAGAGAAGCTTTCGATTTTGGAACCTTCCGTGGCTGCGTAGGAACAATATTCTTAAAGAAATGTGTCCTCTAAGTCCTACTTGGCAATCCACGTTGTTAATACATGAAGTTCAAGTTGGAGTAAAGAATACTTGAATGTGCCATTAACGAATAACTCAGAGCATTGGTAATTATTTGATCCAAAGCCCAACAAGTGAAGCTGTGGAAAGAAGCAAGAGAGAGTTGCTTTCTTCGTCAATGCACTAGCTTTCACAACTGTTTACTCCAATATCCATACTCAGTTCACACCTCCCTCCCTTTCTGGCATGAGCAAGAATTGTTGGGGGGCTCTTGGGGGTGGTGAATAACGCCTTCATTTGGAATCACACTCCTCTCCTTGTCTTCAAATAGAGTTAGCTCTGAGTCACTTTACTCGAGGTGAATAAATAGGAATGCTTTTTTTAGCAAATAACAGGAACCTGGATTTAAAGACTTTTTTTTCTTCTTCTTCATAATCTAGTTAGGAATGTCCCTGCCAGTTACCTCCTTAAAGAACAGGTTTAGAGCAAGGAAATCTTGACAGACTAGCTCCTCCCAGGGGATTTTTGTGGCCACGTTGGCCAGGATGCATAACCAGCTTTACAGATTTCTTAACTCCATTTATAAATAAAAACATGAATCTGAAATTATACTGTGGTGATGGTTGCACAATTATGCAAATATACCAAGTCTGCTGAGCTGTACACTTTGCATGTGTAGATTTTATGGTGTCTAAGATACAGCTCAATAAAGAATGAAAAGCAAACAACACCTCCCCCGCCCCCGCCTGCCCCTCCC